AATTTAAATTTTTGTATTTTAAAACCAAAATCAAATAAGCACTGGCTTTTTAATGCCCGTTTCTGAAAATAAAATAAAACTACCCATGAAAGGATAGTTCTAAAATTATATTAATATGAAGTAAATAAATGTAAATGCACCATTTAATAAGTCATTATGATACAGTATCTGAAAATTAGCACCAAAAAAAAAAAAGACTTAAAGTTGCTTATTGCCTCTGACTTTTCAGGTGACTGGGGCTGGATGTCACTGGATACTCACAAGCTACTCATTTGGTTTCGATTCCTTCAAAAAAAAAAATATATATATATCAATAATAAAATTCTATGAATACAAATCGTGGGTGGCACTTCCAATCCTTGGAAGTACTTTTGTATAATGTTTGCTCCAATAAATAGCCTTTAGCTTGTTGGTGTCACACAACTGTGGAAACGTGTGACATGAGAACAGAGCATTAGGCACTTGGCATTGTGAGAGAACAGCTCAACTGAAGATAAAAATACAGCAAGATGCATTTTTTATGACGAGAAAGTGCCACGCGTCGGCAACACAAGAAACCTCTTCAAAGGAACTGGCAGTGTTTATTTTTTTTGTCCCGTCTGTCTTTTTCTAAAAATGATCATTATTTTGATAAATGACATAATCAGACAAGAATTTATCAGTATGCTTAATGTTAAAATTGTAACAACCAAGGGCCCCAACATGGGAGGGCCCTCAAGTAGCCTTATTTGCATCATTGTTAGTTCTTGTAGTTTGTACTGACTATTGTCTAAGACAATATTCTCTCCCCCTCCACATGGTTTAGTCCATTTAGAGTTGATAAAATTGTGTAATTGCAGTAATTGTGCTTATGATGATGCTGGGGGCTCTTCTAATTCCATTTACAGCACCTAAAGTACGAGCTGAACTAATCACAAATCACCTTTTTCAAATTCAAAATATGAGGCTAGAGTGTAAGGTTTTCTTTAAAAGTTTTTTTTTAGCCTTTGTTTTGTTTTTGTTTTTTGTTTTTTTAGGAGAAACACCTCTAGAACAATATGTTAGGAATTACTGTTCATCATTTTTGTTACACACATATTTTGGACTGACTTCTATTGTCATTGTGTGAACCTTAGAGACATTTTATTATGTATTCCTATAAGGAACCCTTAGTGACTCACTACTAAATATCACACAATACAGAAATAGCTGTATCTCAAATGCTTTTTACCATTGGATTAAAAACTATTTAAATTTCAATAATATGTACAATTTTATTCAAAGTTAAACAGATATTTAACATGTCAAATGAATGTTAATACACACAAGAAAAAATACTAAATCAACCTTGTCTACCAATTAAGGCATAATGAATATTTGGAATCAAACATGTTGATTTTGACATGTGTAGCTACATGTCTTGACAGTTTCCACTGCAGATTTTATGTTTCCACCTCTAACAGAGGAAAATCAATGGGGCTCTTGCTTAACATACTAAATATAGCTGTTAATTATTGGGTTAAAAATTGGTTAAAGTGAAATGAGGAAGAAAGCCCACTGAGAGTGCATATGTACCGGGCCCACATTTCCTGCTACACCACTGAGATCCAAAGTGGAGCTGCAGTCAAAGATGTATTCATCAAAACTCCAGGAATTACACTTCAGACTGAAAAATAAAGAGAACAAAGCAATGGAAAGGTTGTTTGCTGAGTTTGAGCAACAGGACACATCCATCAAGCAACTTTCTGCTACTTACAGTAAAGTGCAGGAGGAACAGTTAAAAAGGCAGCTCCTAGGTGGTCACATGATTAATCACATGTATACTGAGAGCAGGAGCAGCCATTCAGAGACGAGGGTTTACCCTACGACTGATCCATTGTTCATTCTTTAAAACATTATGATTGGAATACGATATTAGCTGAAATGAAACAAGAAGAAAGCTAAACTGGAACAGCTCGTACATCAGAGAAAGGTGTACAGAAGCATTTACAATAACAGAAATGATTCATCGTGATCAAGGATAGTTTACAGTGATATCTAGGTTGTACTCTTTAACCAACCTCAGACACCTCTGGGATACCTTTAGCTAATTGATTTGAGAGTAGAAGTAAAAGTGAAGGATCTTTACTTTTCTCTTTCACTGGATTCCAAAATGTAACTAAGAGGCTAAGGTCTGCTGTAGAACAGGTGGATTTAAAGAAGTTACTGCTTATATGTTCGCATTAAGCACAATAGTAGACATAATAAATATAGTTTGTTTCTATCAGATTGAAACTCAGCAGCTACATTTAGGCAGATTTTTGCTTTCATAAACATTTGGTTAGAAATGTCTAACGCAAAGAACAGATGTCTTTGTTTTTCCTCTAGAGTTTTGCTTCTTAAAATGTAGGAAAATGTATGCAATGTTGTACTTACTATAAATAACAAATAAATTACATATTACAACCTTTGCTTCCTCTACTTAACCAAACATGCTTTTATTTTGAAGTAAGGAGTGTTTCCTTTGTCCCTCCTGGTCGGCACTCTTGTCTTACACTATTATTCATTTATTATTATTCATTTATTCTCTAGATGCTGTGACTTCTGACCCTCATTAAGGTTCAGCAGCATGTAAATGACACCTTTCAGTCACTTCTGCGGAGAGACGTCGCCCCCGTGTGGACACACACGGCAGGATCAGAGCAGCGGAGAGACTGAGGAAGAGAGGGAAGTGATATATTCAAACCCCCCCCCCCCC